CCAGCACCCCTGGGAGACCCTGAAAGCAGCCCACTGAACTTCCTGGCACCTTTCCTAACAGAGCCAGGATGGAAAAAACAAGGAAAAATGGAATGGAATACAAAAAGCCTTACATTCAGGAGCATCCTAGTATGTGGGATTGTTTGAAATGGATGCACCAGCTGCCACGTCCAGGTTTTAGTGGGTGAGTGTCTATCAGATAAAGAGGATTTGGAGAACAGCTTCATACAAAAAATGGCACAACTAAACTGAAAAAAGCATACGCTTTCACTGTTTAAGAAATCAGTGAATAGTTTTTCTGAGATTTGTAGTTAGTATTTAACACATTTGTTGAATCCACCCTTTTGAATCATGCTTGGAACTTAGATCTTTTGAATCATGCTTGGAACTTAGATGCTCAATTGTTGTTTACTGGAATAATAAGCCCAAGAATGGTAGTGATATCAGTCTAAGTAAGCACTTTGAAACATGCACAAATCTTTAGATAAAATTGCACACAACAGAATTCAATGAGATTTTCACATGGTCACTGGTGGCATTCTCTATATCAATTTGTATTATCGGACGTATAATCAGGATCATCTAAGTTGCTGCGGGAGACAGAGATGTGCCTTGGATGTGTCGCTGAGCGCTGCTACATGTCTCCGCAGACTGGGTACTGCACAACCCCAGAGGACACCACTCTTACAGATGCCCTTGGAAACAGCGCCCCCAGAGGCTGTGCAGAGCACAGCCTGCACACAGGTTGCTAACTTCCATACGTCCGTCTTAACAGGCTATGAAGGTGGAACAGTTGATTCACCTTGTTCATCCCCAGGACTGACTGAGTGGGTCTGGTCAACTGGGTAAATGTGGGCTCTCTCTTGCCCACTTCTTCCTCATTCACCACCTCCCCCTACCAGTTTACGTTCTGGTGAAAGATGTTGACCTTCACAGATAGAGGCAAGTGCCCTCCAGTCAAGGGTGTGCTTGTAAGTCTCCTGGAGCCCCCACTCGAACTCCAGGGGCCTCTCAGTGATCCTGGAGCAAAAAGTCCCTCCTCTCCACAGAGAACTGAACGTTCTTCCCCTCTTCCTAATGAGGCACTCTTGCAAACACTCACACGTGGCTCTCTCTTAACCCCACTTCTTAAGGTTTGCCTTTTAAATGCCAAGATCCACCTGGGCTCAACTGACAATGTCACCAATTCAAAAACGTTTTCATTTCCCAGCCTCCAAAAAGGCTATCCGCTGGGTCCTTCAGGTTCCACAAGCCACTCTAAATATCCTAGCCTTACATGGACAACCTTTGTATTCTAAAACTAAGCAATCATTATTTGTTACAGAAAAATAATTGTTAAAAAAGAAAAGAAAAACACAACCGCTCACGCAGCCTGATGTGTGCACACTCATTACATGTGACACAATCGTATCACCCTGTTGAAGCACAGGGGGCCCTGCCATTTCTCTGACATAAAGCAGAAGCCTCCGTTCCTGTCAAAACGAGGGAGACGTGAGGAAATGGGCAAGTCAGGAGTGGCAGTGGAATGCTTGCCCCGATAGTCCATTTCCAAATTAGGGGGCCTTGTAATCAGACCAGACTTGGCCAACAACTAACAGTGTGACCTTGGCCCAGTCAGGTCCCCTTCTTAAGCTTTGGTTTCCTTCTCTGCACCAATGCCAACAGTATAGGGTTGACAGGGGATTGATTAACTGAGGTAATGAATGGAAAGTATTAAGTTCCTGATACGTGGTAGGTTTTTCATACATCATTACTACCCTTTCATTCATTTACTGTTATTTCCAGTGTCCACCTTTTACTGGCATAATATTGGGTGTGGCCTTGTGAGAATCAAAGAAACGCAATAGCTTTTTTTCTTCATGAATCTTATAATACATTCATTCATTCAATAATCAATTATGGAGTGTCCATTTTGTGCCAGACACCCTGGTAGGTGTTAGTTACAAACATGAATAAAATAAGCCAAGGCCACAGCCTTCGAGTAGCTCACATTCCGGTGGGCAAGATCAGACGTGTGATCACATACAGTATATTTACAACACAGTAAGAAGAGCCACACCACAGGTGTGTGGCATGGGTGTTCTCTCAGACCTAAAAAAGCATAAATTGGATTAACCTGGGAGACAGACCCTGAGCAGAGAATTCTAAGTCGGTGTACATAGAAAACATGATATGCATGAGGTTTCTGCAAGTTTTGAACATCCGTGGAGCAAAATGTTTCTTAGAAAAGTCACAGACGACATGGCCAGAGAAATTAGTTGAGAAGCCACTGAAGAGGTTTGGTCTCTTTCCTAGAAGGCAAGGGGCCATGAAGACTTTTAAGCTGTTTGGGGACTGGTCAATTTTCGGTCAAGAAGTCCCTGTGGAGGCTGGGGTATGATGGAAGTTGGGCTGGACTGGCCTGAGAGGAGGTAAAAAGACCAATTGGGTTTTTGTTCAGATGAGAGATAAGGAAGGCTCACACTAAGGCAGTAGTGGCGGAGACTGTGGGGAACGGTTATGGCTACCACCATCATTTACGAGGAAGACTTTATGGGCCTCAGTGATTGACAGAATGGAGATGGGGAGAAGCTGAGTTTGACTCATGCCACTGGGTGCTTGGCAGCACCCTTAACAGGATCAGGCACAAGAGGACTAGTTTTGGGAAGGACAGACACACACACACAGTGAGTTACTTAGCCCATCAGAAGAGCAATACGACAAACCAGTACACCCCCGGGCTTTGGATTACTGTGCCAAATCAGACAAAGGAGCAAACGCTATCGCTCCAGAGAAAGCCAACACGGCTTGGTCTTTTTCAAGACTCCTCTTTATATAATTTTCCCCCTTTTCTGGGAGCAATATCACTGCTACATCTTGGAGTAATATGCCTACTATCAAATGCCTTGAGATCTGAAAATCACTCATTCCAGGTCCCCAACAGCAGTTAAGAAATGACTGCCTCTTCTCCCCTGCACCTCATACTTCTTGCTCTGCTCAGTATCTTGTGCTATGGCCAATGGCTTCTTTCACAGCAGGAGTATGATCATGTAACTGCTGGAGCATTTTAGAATAGTTTAAGTTCATGGAGAACTCCTAACTTCGCCAAAAATCTTTGGTTCAGATACTGTATGAACAAGGTAAAGTCTGTTGCAAACAAGTTTATGAAATAGGCAGGGAGCCTATTGTTTAGAAGGGTTGTGGTACTGAGGAAGGTGCTGGAAATGCAAAGTGGAACAAGCAGGATTCCTGCCATTAGAGTTTACAATCTGATGGAGAAGGCAAATCAAGCCTTAAAGGGCTGCTGTTACACCACACAATAAATGCTAAGGGAGCAAGGAAAGTGAACAGCCAACCTACTCGTGGATGTTCACAGTGGCTTTCCATAGGTGACATGTGTATAAACCACAGAACACAAAGTCTACTAGGAGCAGTGTCCCAAGCAAGGTACATACCAAGTGCTCTGGAAAAAGGACTACTATCTTACTCCAAATGAGTAGGTCCAGCAAGACTTTTTGGAAGAGACTACATTTTAGCTGGAACTTAAAAGGTCAAATGGACAAATTCCTGAAAAGAAAGTGGGAAACCTAAGGGCATGTTTGAAGAACTGGGTAACAGGCTTTCCCAGGATCAGGTTTAGGTTTAGGGCTACAAGACAGGGAGGGAGACAGACATGCAATACTTTGTAAAAGTTAACAGCAAATCTAGAGTTAAATCGTACCGCAACATTCAAGAAATACCAGGAGGCAGCAAGTGATTAAGAGCTAAGTTAGGGGCAAGAGCTGCATGCACAAGTCAGAGGAATGATGCAGTCACCTGTGCAACTGAATCCTAAGATGCCTACAGCCTTGAGGCCACAGGCTCCTTTTGACCTGGCAAGGCATTCTTGGCTACTCAGCGGACGCTGGACGTTGGTTCACTGTGCTAATCTTTCCCCAGCTAGCTAGAAATGGTAGAGGACCTGGAGCTCCCTGTTCTAGTGTTTAACCTTTAACCAATAAACTGCAGTGGAAATTTAGGAGCCTCAAAGGAACTTAGGAAAGCACCATCCTGTCCCTTGCTCAGAAGCCAATGAAGAAGCCAGACAACTGCCCTCCAAAAATTGCACCAAGTCTGTGCAGCCCCGAGTTCTAACTCAGCTTTTGCAGGAACAAGAGAGGGGTGGGGGAGGACGAAGAAAAGATCCACAGGCAGCAAAGGGAGCCCGCTCATTAAGGTACCCCCAGAATGTTTTCCCTCCGCGAGGAATGGTCAGGTAGGGCAGAGTATGGAACTTGGAGCCTGGGTCTCTGCCACCATCTGACAGTGAACGAGTCATTCAATCTTTCAAATCTGTGTCCTGCGTCCCCATTTGTAGAATAGTGGAGCCCACGGTAAGTATTTAGGGTCTACCACGTGCCAAGTGAGACGTTTCCCACCTTCTCTGTTAACCCTCACAAGCATCATGGTGGATTTTACTCAAGGCATTCAATTCAGAGCATTGAAGCAACACGTCCAAGGTCACCCTGCATTAGTGGCAGGGCGACACTGCAATTTGAGGATGACTCGCGGTCCCCGTTTGATACGGGTTAACCTCCCTAAACGAGTGCCCCGGGCTCCCATTCCTCAACTACCCGCCGGCACCCCCTCCTACTCCCGAAACTCCCGGGCAACGCACCCCTTTCACGCATAGTGTGCTTTGCAAAGACTGTAGCTCAGACTCAAGAAATTTTTCACGCCGCTCGGCCAACGGAGCCTGTCCCGCCCACGGCTCCTCCTCACTGGATTGGTAGAATTCAGGGAGGCAACTCTCAGTTGCCTCTTAGGCCCTGATGACCTGCCACGCCCCTGATCTCTCCCAGCGCTTTGGGCGCAGGCGCTCCGAGCGTGCGTGCGTGCGTGCGTGCGAATGAGCACGTGAGGCCCCGGAACTTGCACAGGGGGAGAAGGCAGGAAAAGGGAGGCGAGGGGCGGGGCTGCTGTTGCCATGACAGTGACGTCAGGCGTCGGGGAGCGAACCCGGCCCATTCCCCACGCGCGCGCGCACACACAGACATGCACACGCGCGCGCACCGCTGCTCTCCCTCCGACACACTGGAGGGAAAGGTCAAACTAAAGGCGAGGGAGCGGGGAGGCCTGAGGAGCTGCCACTGCCGCGCGCCATGACGGACGTGGCCGAGGCTGCTTTCTTTCCGCCGACGCCGCCGAGCCGTTGCTCTCGTCGCGCCCCCTGCCCCCGCCCCCATGTCCGTTCTCCCCCTGTCCCCTACCCCCGGCTCTCGCGCGTCCACGCGTCCCCTCCCCCCGTCGCTCCAGGCGCGCGTCGGGCCTGGGGCGCGCGCTGGCGCTGAGCGGGAGCGGGCGTCACAGGGTAGGGGTTGCGGCGGACGATCGGGCGGCCTCCCCGCGCGACCCCCGACGTCCTCGGCGAGGGCCCGCCAGGTGAGTGTGGTTGGTGGGGGAAAGGACGTCAGAGGACGAGGCGCCGGGCGAGTTCAGCCCCCTGCCCTACCCCTTCCGGGGGCGCTGACAGGCGCTCGGGACCCGGCCTCTTGGGGGCGTCGCGGGGTCAGCCTGTCGCGGGTTCTTTTTTTGGCGCCTCTGCCCCTTAGGGGTCGGGCCCCGGAGTGGTGGGGGTTTGGGACGAGGGGCGTGCAGCCACTGGCCAGGAGTTGGCAGAGCCACCCGGGCGTGGGGACGGGCGACGGGAGGCAGGTGGGCCCCTCTCTGGGGCTTGGTGAAGAGCAGGGAGGGGGCGAGGGGCCGAGGGGCCGGGCCAGGCCAGGTGCGCGCAGGAGCCCGCAGGAAGCTTTAAAGAAATGTTTGTTGGGCAGTTGGGAGAAACTCTGCCCTTGGGACAAAGTGCCTTGCTTCTGCCCCAGCCAGCGAAAGTGGCAGATTTCAGCAAAACTCGGGGGAAGCAGGCAGGGCAGGATGGAAGGGAAAGGGGCCGGGAAGAGCCGTCTGGATGTGAACCAAATATGAACGAATCCGACTAGGGCATGATGTGTGGACGTTGCCATGCCAGTGTTTGATGTCTGCTGCTCATGGTTATTTTAGGACTAAAGGGTAAAAAAAGTTACTTGGGAGAGAGAGAACTGCTTGAATGGTCAGAAGTCCTTCCTTGTTTATGCAGGAAATGGGTTAATCTTTCACACACACGCCCCCCCCCCCATTGAATCTGTACCCAGGGACTTTAAAAATACTTAAATACAAACTCTGAAGCCCCAAACAAGGTAATGTTTGTGTGATGAGTTTCAGGTGTCTGGCTTCGTGTTCCCTGGCAGAAAAACAGGAGGACAGCGAAGTACTTGATATGCTATAGCAGTCGCCTTTTTGTAATAAGCTTTGGAGCCTATCAAAGCAGAGTTGAGCTCTAACAGCCAGGGTTAAGTAATCACATTGACCCAGCGCCACCCACCAATCAGGAGCTTCCCTGGAAGTAACTGGGAAGACTGCTTCCAGCCCAGCACCCTGGTGATGGTGAAAAACCGGTGCTTCTGCTGATTGTTTTTCCTCTTTAGTTTTCCACTGTTGTAACGCATGCTACCTATTTACCAAACGTTGGAAGGAATTATCCATAGTTAAACTGCTCTCCTTTGAGTCTCTTTTAAATGATCAAGCACAAGTTCTCCCAGGCCTGTCTTCATAGTGAAAGTTACTTGGAAATTCAAATAGAGTAGTTTCAAATCGATAAGGTTTTTTGAATTTAGCTCAAACAGATTATACCAAGTGGGTCACGTGTTTAAAATTTAAATCTCAGCCAAGAACATGTCTGGTTAGTGGAAGGTTCCGGGTTGTGACAGCCGAGGACAGGTCTGAAGAGGTCTTTGGTGAGGGATCAGAGAACAGCCAGGACACCCTTCCTGGAGAGTTCAGTGTTAACTGGTAGTTCAGCACATACAAATTTGTTCCTCACCTAAGCCTGTCAGACATGTGGGGACTTCTGTTGGTGAAGGATCTTTGGTTATTTGTCTTTTTCAAAAAGTTGTGTCAACAGAGAACCCTCCTTTTGAAATTGAGTCATCATGGCACGTAGCCAGGATACCCAAGGCTCTCGGAACAAGATGTATGGGAGGATTACGCAGTTCGGGGCCCTGTTTAATCCTTTCTGTGCTGGGGTTTTTGTACCCAGTTCTGTGCTGTGGTGCCCCTTTCACGTGTGGCTCCTATTGGCTGTTGGCTACACACGTTCTATATGGAGTCCTGTCCTGGGGTACTCGAATGTTACAACCTAAAACATCATTTCCTGTGATATGTTAATATATATTTATTTATGTTTTTTTCCTTCTCTTTGTAAAGGAAACCCTAGAATTGGGCACACCAGCTCTTACTCAGCACATCCCCCTCCTGTAGGTCTCCTTGACCTTGGTGGCATCATGGAGGTCAGTGTTCACGAAGATAAAAAGTTCTTGCTTTCTGCCAAGTGATAGAGATACATAGGAAAGTGATCTAAGATATGTATATTTTGATTAAAAAATAATTTTCATTGGGCATTGTGATTATTACCAAAATAATGTACTGACTCCCTCTTGGGACTACTTTTACATTTCTGTTTCACATTAAAAACAATCACTCAATTCCTTTTTTCAGCTTTTCTAGTGTTGCTCGTATATTCTACCACAGATGAACAACTGGTTTTGGGGTGACATTTTTAGAATTTGGGAACCAGGGAGAAGGGCAGCAGTGCTGGGACAGAGTTAACCTGTGAGGGCCCCGGTGCTCCCCTGAAGAAATTTGGTATGTACAAGTGTAAGATTACACAAGAAATTAAATAGTGGCTAGTTCCATTATTATGTGAGAATTCCATATTTTACAAAGAGGGCTCACTAAAAGTTTCCTTCAAATAATTAATGCTTTTTTATGATACTTGTAAAACATGATTTGACTTAACGAAAAAGCAGTTGGCACACAGCAATTTAGGAACATGTTTTTGGCATATTGCACAGTTTATCAATGTGTTTCTTGAATTGTCTCTTTCCCAACAACATTTGGGGGCAAAATTATAGTATTAATGGACTTCTTAAATGCAAAGTTCTGTTACTCGCATGCACCTATTAATGTTTTCACTGAATGGGAAAATTGTCATGTGATTTGTGCTTTACCATTGAAGGAGTACATTGAACCCTAATTAAAATGCCAGAAATTTATGGCCACGTTTGTCTGGAAACCCATCCAAGGTCACATAGTTACTGAGGTATCAAAAGCACCTTGTTACCAGACACTCTCGCTAGGATGGTGGTCCCACGGCGTAGGCCAGCCAGTGGTTGTACCCAGACTGCAGCCAATTTAAAATAAATAGATTTGGTCCAAAGTCCACATGTAATGAAAACCATGACCTTGAATTTTTTCTCTAGGTGCAAATTATTCTCCAGAATTAAAGGCTTGATTTTCCTAAGGTGCAGTTCTATTTGGGTCACTCGTGGAAAATTCTATTTCGATAAAAGAACAACTGCATACTCTTTAAACCTTCAGGGGAGTGTTTTTTCTTCTTTTTGTTAGTGCATTTGGGCTTATTTGGAATCAGAAGAGATGATGTTGAATGAAATACCTGGGGAGTTTTCCTTCTGAAATCATTTCGCCTTGGTGAGTGTGAGTTAACATGAGAGCCTGCTAGTGGGGTAGCTCAGATTTTGTTGGGATAAGGGAGGGAAAGAGGAACTAGACGCAAACTTTATTGGGGATAGTTCAAGGGATTCACCCTGCTTGGTGCTGCTCATGCCTGGCTTCCTTAGAGTGACACCCATCCTTCTCACTGTTAGAGGAGCCTTATTCTTAAAGAAGGGATCGGAAAGACTAGAGCTAAACATACAGGTGTATTAGCATTCAGCTAATTAAACTTCTTTTGAGAAGTTAAATTGCTTTTTGTTTTGTTTTATGCGTTAGAAAGAAGGAAATTTCCCTGCTGACTGTGGGCTGAGCCCCACTCTGGGGTGATGGGCACTGTCCTGTCCATGCATCACTGACTATTACGAAAACGTAAGGAGCGGCTCGAATGGTGCCCCTGAGTTTTTAGAACAGGCTCTTAGTTTCTGTGTTGAACAAATGAGGATTGAAGATGTGATGTTAGAGAAGAATTGAGTTTTTTTTTTTAAACCCTGAGGGACTGTCCCCAAAGGATTGCTAATGTAGAACCTGGTGAGGTAGTAAGTTCATTACTCAGATTTATCATTAATGAGGATGTGTAATTGAAAAGTTTTCAAGTATGTGCAAACAATAATAATAATACTGCATTTAAAAGATATTTGTACCTAGATGTGGGAGAAAAGAGGTCGTGATCAGAAATTTTAATTGGAAGGCTGATTTATGTTCTTCATGTCATTACCTAACCCACTGTCTCTTTTTAAATGTCACTTAACGTTTCCTTCCCCAGTTTTCTTTTCTGTAAAACATGGTCAGTAGTGCAAGCAACTTTATGTAAACTGGATTTTGAAATAATATTTGCTGGACACCTTAAGCCTAAAATACTACCTAGTACTGATATGTATGTGTAAGTCCACTAAGTGGGATTTAAAAATGCTTAGACCTTGCATAATGTGCAGAAATTTGGGCAAAAGTTTTAAAAATAAGAAAGGCTGAATTCAGAATTGTAGTCACAGGTGGTTGTACATTGCATTCTCCTCGTTCTCCTGAAGGGACTTTCTCTCGCTATTACATATTTGTGCTTTCCACACTCCCGCTGTGCTGGTGCTTAGTGTTGGGTCATCTTATCTGTAGCATCAACAGAAAGTTCAGAATTACGAAACTATTCTCTGTATATCCCCCCCCCCAACTGTTCCCTCTGGGAGAGCCTTTGAATTTCAGATATTGAATGTGGTTTAATCAGAAGTTACTCTAAATAGAAAGGTTACTGCAGTTTTCACAAACTAGAAGAAAATATAAATATATCTTGAGATAGTTTTGAACATTTTTGTATACTGTATGGACAATTAAACATGGTGTGTATAATTCAGATTTTCTGTTATTAGCATTTAAATTAACTTTATTTGGTGTATTGTTAAAATCAACATCATAATTGCATATTCTCTTAAAAAATATATATTTATGGAATATTTTTCACAAAACGTGCCCTTAAATGGGCAAGAGATAGAAATTTTACTCTGAAACCTTCTAACTGATCATAGAGTTAAATGCATATGGTTAATGTTTGATGTTGGGGATGGTGTTGATTGGCATTTTTATATATGAGGATTTTCTTCTGTTTTTATAGGGTTACTTTCAAGTATGTATTGATAAACAGAAGCATTCCTCTACAGAAAGTCATTTGTGTTTAACGATTATTTGACAGTGCTCAGACTTTTGTATTTGAAGTAAATAGAAATGAATAATTTATTAAGCTGCTGTCCCCAAAATGTGCTAATTTGGTCAGAACATGTGATACAATTTATTTTTCTATAGTGTACAGTTATTTTTATCTCCCCCAAATTTATAGCAGAATAGTTGGCTATTTTGGCAAATTTAGGAGTGTAGCATATGCCCAGAAACGATCCATTAAATGCTAAGTGTCAAACTGAGTTTACGATATTATTTGGGATAGTATTTTTCTTATAATGACATTTACATTGTTTCTGTTTAAGTACCATTTCTTGAACATGCCTGTAAGTGAAGACTTGTACATGTTGGTCACATGATGTATTGAAGGATTAAATTTAGATCCTCTGCTTCTCTTCCCTCTTCCTCCGTTTCAGTAGTTGGTCCTCACTCACTGTGAGAGAGCTTTAATGCCTGACAGGGTGGCGCGGGTGACTGTTGGCTGTTTTTTTCAAAGTGTGTACTATCTGATGTGGAAAAGTGAGACTGTTCTGTAACTCTTACTGTGTGCTAAGCATTGTTTTGAGAATCTGTTTTTAATTTATTTATAAAGGGATGACACTTTAAAAATTCTTGAAACTATTGAAGTGGTTATGTTCCCCCCAAAATACCAGAGTGAGGAGCAGAGAGGATGGTAGGGTTAGACTAGATCGTATACAGTAAATGTGATTGTTCGCTACCCAACATTAAAGGACTAAATAGCTTTTCTGTAGGATTGTAACCTTGCTGTTTCAGTAGCACTTCTCACTGTGCTGGAGTCAGGAGTGTCAAATCGTCAGGAATGGCAAATGCGTATCTTTAATTAGTTTTACACGTTACTGCTGGGAACAGGTTAGGTAGCTGTGAGAGGGATGGGCAGTTTCACGGTGGTGGTCATTTCCAGTGAGCACGTTTAGAACCCCCAGTATTATAAGATGGGAGAGCAGGTACTGAAGTGATAGGTGGGGAAGGATTTTCACAGACAAAGCCGTTGTTAAGAAAACTCAAGTGCACCAATCTTGAAAAAAATTACATCACACCAATTACAGTCATAGTCTATGTTTTGAATATTCTGAGGCCATTTGTGTCTAATCATAAATTCTAAGTTTCAGTTAGAAGATGTGGTCACTTAAGTTGTAGTTTAACTCAAGAGCACAAAAGCTGATCATTAATCTTTACCTTCCTTTTTCTTTATTACAACTTTTTTGTCATTAATTTCGAAGGCCTAATACTGTCTGCTTAGTTCTGTATGTGCCTAGTTCTATAATTGAAGAGAAACTACCAGAGTGAATCCTTACACCTGAGTAAGGGTCACATCAGGAGAGGTGTGAAGTATGTACAGAACATAGTGTTTCTTTCTAAAGCAGTGGGGTTTTGTAAAAGAATCTTTATTTATTGGTGTGAGAGAGACAGACAGACCCCGATGTGTTCCACTTACTTACGCATTCATTGCTTGCTTCTTGTATGTGCCCTGACCAGGAATCGATCCCGCAAGCTTGACATTTAACAACTGATCAACCCAGCCAGGGCCTAAAGAGGTGGTTTTGAAATTGTTTCATAAAGTCTTCTGGAGGAAGTCAAGCAGGTTCGTTCCAATTTCAGCCAGTACAGTTTTACTGTGGTCACCTTTAAGTGTGGAAGTTTGCATTAGATTTCATTCAAGTGCAGGGTTTCGTTGTTGAAAATAGAAAGTGTGGTAGCCACTGTTGTTAGCATATTTGACCTCATCACTGTCCTGCTTAAATCCTTGCAATGGTCGGGCGTTTTCGTTATGGCCCTCGGACTCTCTGTATCTAGCTCCAGCTCCATTCTTCACCTCTCATCGCTGTTTCCCCAGCTCTCCAGGCCCCCTGCATTCTAGTTCTCCTTAAACTGCTTGGTCTTCCCTAGGAGGGAAATGGCACTGCGCCGCGCCTTCACACGTGGAACGGCCATCACTCGTGCCGTGTTAGGTGGAACTCTCTTCCCTCGGGACCCCGGTCATAGCTCCATAAAAGCATTTCATTGTTTTGTAGCTGCGACCCCTTGAGAGCAGAGACCATCTAACTGACCTTTGTGTCCACACCACTTGGTGTTCATTAAGTAGTCAAATGGCTGTGGAATATTGCATTTAGAACTTGAGAAGTAGTAGAATTGCCTTAATGCACACTCTTTTGAATAAAACATCCCAGATCTAGCCTGTGCAGAATATTTTCAGTGACATGGTGGCAGGCATTATGCTAAGTGTGCGAAAGGCACTCAGTCACACTTACCATGAAGTGTAACACAGCCAGACTGTGTAGTACGTGGAAGGATTAGATTAGATTGCAGTAGGTGCTGTTGGCTTAACTGACATGATGGATCCGATTCAGTCATCTGATCTTAAAAGCTGTTGTGAAAGCATTTAATAATAATCCTATAGTCTTGACTGCCTGTGAACAGTCTCTTCATATGTGGTCAAAGGTCACAGGCTCAGAGAGACCTTCAAATGGCAGCATGTGTATGTAGTGACGCCCACCCACGAAGGTGAGAGAGTGGCTCCTGGAGCCGTCCTGCGTGGATTCACATTCTTCCTCCACCTGTCCCTAGCCACGCCACCCTGTGCAAGTTACTTATTATTCAGTGCCTCCTTTTCTTATCTGTAAAATAAGGATACTGATAGTACTACTTTAAATGGCTACAATGAAGGATATACATGAGTCGATGTACGTTGAGCACTTAAAAATGTCCAACACATAGAAAACACTCAATGCATGTTAGCTATAATTAATTTCTAGTGGCTTCTTATTTAAACAAATGTTTATTGTACGTCATTGCCATCAAACAATTGCTTTAGTGCACAAGTATCTAATTTAAAAGAAAGTTAACATTTGTATCTGGCTACTACATTGTAAAACTGGTGACTGTTCTGTCTCCTCGCTGGCTCGCTCCCCACCCGCGGCGGAGTGCGGACTGTTCTGTCTGAGGGTGGATGTGCGGGGTTTGAAGCTGGGTCTCCTGACTCTGCTGCAGACCGTTCTGCGGCCTTTGGGGTTCCCAGTTGTGCCCCCAAGAGAAGGGGGGCGGAATCCAATGACAAATTGAACAAGCTTTCACCTGTTCCAAGTAAGTCCTGAATTTCCATGCTCCTTAGTAGAGACAGGTGTTCAACTTTTTTGCTTTTCACCTTTTCCTCTACCTCTTTGGCTCAAAGAGTAGATTTTTAAAAATCTGAATGAATGTTCATTCCGGAAAGGCACATACACATTTTCTTAAATAAGTCAGCGAACCTGCTCTTTAAGCTCATATTTTATCTAAATACCTGCAGTGAGGGCAGT